ATCCTAAGTAAGCCGCCCAAAGCTTCGCCTGAGCCTCAAAAACACAGACCCCCTACACCCTAAACCCTAAACCCTAAACCCTAAACCCTAAACCCCTAAACCCTAAACCCTAAACCCCTAAACCCCTAAACCCGAAGCAGAGCCCCCGGCCCGCTTGGCAGCGAGGGCGCTTGGGGGAGGCAAGCTCGGCTCCCTCGGCCTCCTTAGAGGTCGGCTCAGGCAGATTTTTGGAGGCTCGGAGTTTCGGGTTTAGGAGTTTTGGGGCTCTACAAATTTAGGGGTTTAGGGGTTTGGGGGTTTAGGGGTTTCGGGGTTTAGGGGTTTAGGGGTTTAGGGGTTTAGGGGTTTGGGGGTTTGGGGGTTTGGGGGTTTGGGGGTTTGGGGGTTTGGGGGTTTGGGGGTTTGGGGGTTTGGGGGTTTGGGGGTTTGGGGGTTTGGGGGTTTGGGGGTTTGGGGGTTTGGGGGCTTCGGGTTTACGAGCTGAGAAGCTTGTGGGGTTCATCATCCAAAGGGGGGGCGCTACGGGTAGGGGTTTAGGGCTTCAGGTTTTGGGGCTCCAGGGTTGAAGGTTCTAGTCTTCAGGGTCTTGAGGTTTTGCGGGGGAATTTGCGGCAACCCCTGGGCCCCCAAAACCCGCACAAAAACAAAATCAGCTGCAACCCCGAATCTCTTTGCCCAGCCAAGCCCTCAACACTACAACCCCAACACTCTGCAGGAGACAAGCGAAAACCCCCACGCAAACCCCCCCCCCCCCCCCCCAAGTTCCCCAAGCCCGACCCTCTAAGCCTTAAGCCCTAAACCCTCAACCCTAAGGCCCTAGAACCCTAAACCGCCAAAACCTAAATCCTAAACACCCCAACCCTACTTGTTGAAAGGCCGCTCTCAAATCGAGGCCACTCAGAGTTTCTTTTCAGCAGCTGCCTTTCGAGTGCCAAGCTTCTCTTGGGGACTCGTCGGGGATTGGACAGCTGTAAATGCTGTATAACGACGTGTGCATACACCCCTCAACTCAATGAACAGGATGCATGCAGTTCGGATGAAAAGACTTAACCCCCAAATCCCCCAAAGCCCGGGGCTTTTAGGGCTCCAGCTTCAACCCAAGCGAGGAGCCGTTGGCGGTGGCTTTGCCGGAGCCCTGGGTTTAGGGTTTAGGGTTTCGGGTTTAGGGTTTAGGGTTTGGGGTTTGGGGCTTGGGGCTTGGGGCTTGGGGCTTAGAGCTTAGAGCTTAGAGCTTAGGGCTTTCGGAGAAGGGTGTTGCGTTTGGGGGGGGGCTGGGTGGGTTCTTGGTTTTGTGGGGATGCTTAGTTTGGAGGTTTCAAGCTTATTTGGGACTTTGGGCGTTTGGTTTCTACAGTTCTGGAGTCGGGAGTTTCGGGGTTTCGGGGTTTCTTATCATCGGCTTCGGCGGTTCAGGGCTTTAGGTTTCAAGGCTTTAGAGATCTTTAGAGTGTTAGGGTTGTGGGCTTGTCGGTGTGTCATTGCTTTCTGGGGATGGCTAGGTTTTTATACAGGTAAGGGTTGCAACTTGATAAGGCGGCAGCCGCAAGCAGCGAGGGAGCGGGAAAAGACGTTGATGGCCGGGGCTTTGGCCAACAGTGCTTAGGGTTTAAGGTTTAGGGTTTAGGGTTTAGGGTTTAGGGTTTGTTTGGACCGCTTTGGGGCGGCTTTGCGAAAAATGGCACGCTCGACGCCGTATAAAAACGGCTGGAGGCTGGCCTCTACTCCCAAGCCCGACTGGCGCAAAATCCAAACACCGACCTCCAAGTACAGCATGTTCAAGATAGTTCCATTTGGGCCCGCAAGGTTTCGATTGCTTCGGCCCCCATCTGTTACGTCCTGATTAGCGTGTCCGGGAGATTCGGGCTTTAGGATTTGGCTTCAACCCTGAACTCCAAACCCTAAACCATAAACCCTACACCCTAAACCCTAAACCCTAAACCCTAAACCACCTCAAACCCTAATTAAACCCTAAACCACCCTAAACCTAAACCACCCTAAACCCTAAACCCTATTAACCACGTGGTGACCCTTGGTCGGTGGCCCCTTGTTCTGCGGCTCTGCTTCGCTTCGCTCGCTGAAATCAAAACCGAAGGAGCAAGCGGTTTGGGGCTGATAGGCTTTAGGGAACCCTGACCCCTAAACCCTAAACCCTAACCCTAAACCCTAAACCCTAAACCCTAAACCCTAAACCCTAAACCCTAAACCCTAAACCCTAAACCCTAAACCCTAAACCCTAAACCCTAAACCCTAAACCAATCCATCTAACTCTAAGGGCGAAGCTAAGGAGTGGGTGCTGAATTACATTCGACACGGGGATTTGCTACCGGCAACTGCGTTGGTGGAAGTGTTCCAGAGCTTATAGGGTTCTTAAGGGATGGGGTTTCACAGGGGGTAGGTACCTAGGGAACCTTAGGGAAGCCTAGGGAGCCTTAGGGAGTAGTGGGGTGTATAAGGGAACCTAAGGTTACATACCCCCCTTGAACCCCCCTCCCTTAAGAACACTAATAAGAGCGCTCAAACCTAAACTTCCAAAATCTTAGGGTAATTACATGGTCCCTTAGTATGGGCCCTTAAACGGGGACGCCAGGGCCCACACTTCAGAACCCTTTAAAGGAGGTAAGGGGCCATATTCAGGGCCCATACAACTACCCTTAGACAAAGCCCCAACCCACAACCCTAAAAACCCTACAAGCCCTCGGCTGCAAAACTATAGGGTTTAGGGTTTAGGGCCAGGGTTTAGGGTTTAGGCGCTACACCGTAAAACTCCTCAAACCCTAAAACCCTAGACCAATTGGGGGGGGGGGGGGGGGGAACCCACGAGGACCTTTCAAATCGCCGCAAGATGAGTAGCGAGCCTTTGAAGAGGCGGATGAAGACCGATTCCTCTGCCATGAGCTTTTTTAATTTGTGTTTTGATTGGTTGTTTTCTCTTTTTTGTTTGGGGGGGGGGGACACAAACTTTTCAGAAACCCTAAACCCTAAACCCTTCCCCCCCCCCCGAGCTTTAGTTTGGGGCTGAGGTTTTGCAGCAGTTGGGCCGAGGTCGGGGGTTCAGAATCGTTTGGGCTTGAAGTTTTTAAACGTTCAGGGGGGTTTAGGGTTTAGGGTTTAGGGTTTAGGGTTTAGGGTTTAGGGTTTAGGGTTTAGGGTTTAGGGTTTAGGGTTTAGGGTTTAGGGTTTAGGGTTTAGGGTTTAGGGTTTAGGGTTTAGGGTAACACGAAAGCACGAAAGCCTGGCATCCCCAACACACTCAGCCCCAACCCCTAAAGCACCTAAACCCCATGAACTCAAAACCCGAAAGTGACAAAACGGATACAAAGAAACGCCACCCTTGGGTTTAGGATTTAGGGTTTGAGGTTTAGGGTTTATAGTGTTTCGGGTTTTGGTTAAGGACAGCTGCAGAAAGGGAGTTCCCAGCTGAGAACAAGTTTTATAAGGCTTCTATGGTATGTAAGGGCAACAAGAGCTTTTTTTTAACAATATTCGCCTAGACCATAAGCCTTACAGCCGACAAACCCTAGGGCCTGAGAACGAGTACTACCCTGAACGCCTATTCACACTAAAATAATACCCTGAACCCTAGACACAGGAGCATTAACCTCAAGCCCTACACCCGAAACCCTCAACCCTACGAAACCGCGCCCTACGTCCTAAATGACCAAGCCCTCGACCCCTAAATCGCAGCGTGAAACCCTAAACCCTTAAGCCCTTAAACCCTAAAACCCTTAAAGCCATAAACCCTTATGCCCTTAAACCCTTAACCCCTTAAACCCTCTTTAAGCCCTTAAACCCTTAAGCCCTTAAACCCTTAAACCCTTAAACCACGAAGCCCTTAAACCCTTAAACCGCTCAAGCCCATACGAAAGTAAAACTCCTCTCGGACTAGGCCCTTAAGCCTTTAAACCCCTAAACCCCTCTAACCCCTAAACCCTAAACCCCAAACTCTAAAGCCTAAACCCTACAGGGCCTAAACCCTAAACCCCTAAACCCCTAACCCCTAAACCCCTAAACCCCTAAACCCCTAAACCCCTAAACCCTAAACCCCTAAACCCCTAAACCCCCAAGCCCTTACAACCCTAAACCCTAAACCCCCCAAGCCCTTAAACCCCTAAACCCTACATGCGGCTCGTGCGGCGGCGCTGGCAGCACCCTCACAGGTGCAGGAGCTGGCCTGGGAGTCTTTTCGGGTGCAGGGCTTTAGGGCTCCGGGGCTTTATGGCTTTAGGGCTTGAGGGTGTAGGGTTTCGGGTTTAGGGTTTGGGGTTGAGGGTTTAGGGTTCAGGGTTCAGGGTTCAGGGTGTAGGGTTTAGGGTTTAGGGTTTAGGGTTTAGGGTTTAGGGTTTGGGGTTTGGGGTTTGGGGTTTGGGGTTTGGGGTTTGGGGTTTGGGGTTTGGGGTTTGGGGTTTGGGGTTTGGGGTTTGGGGTTTGGGGTTTGGGGTTTGGGGTTTGGGGTGTGGGGTTTGGGGTTTGGGGTTTGGGGTTTGGGGTTTGGGGTTTGGGGTTTGGGGTTTGGGGTTTGGGGTTAGGGTTTAGGGTTTAGGGTTTAGGGTTTCGGAAAGGGCGGGTTTTGAGGGGTTCGAGGGCTGAAGGGCGTTAGAGTTTCTAGGGGAATAAACGCTTAAACTCCATGCCCTGACTCTAAAAACCCCACAACCCCCAAATGGGTAGTTCTCAAAATCAGGTGCTGTACGATATGGGCTAAGCCCTAAACCCTAAACCCTAAACCCTAAACAAATCTTATAGAACCTTTCAAGTGCAGGCATGGCGCGCCCTTGGAGGCCTTGGCGTGAGGGTTTTCCGCGACTCCGTCGCGACAGCGGCCTCCGGCGGAGCTTTGAGTTCCGGGGCTTCGGAGGGCTCAGGGTTTAGGGTTCAGGGTCTAGGGTTTAGGGTTTAGGGTTTAGGGTTTAGGGTTTAGGGCTGCTGTGACGGTGTGCTGCATTCATGGATGCTACCACACCCTTTTGCTCTTCAGGCCATCGAGGGCACACGGACTGCAGTCAGTGGATGCTCGATCCGTTACTGGCCAAGCCAAGTCGGTAACCTCTCTGCAAGCGAATGATCTGGTAGGTCACAGAGAGCACCAAGGACGCCAGGCCAGCAGCTTTCGCGAACATAGCTAGCAACGCCCGCTTGGTGACTATGACGCCTGTGCCGTACAACTCATATCCGAGTCCCTGGCCACGATTGGCTCCTTGCATGTAGTTTTCTGTCAGCTGGATGCGATGCTCGTCGCCAGTTTCACTAACGACGTTCCGCAGGTTGTTCAACTTCTCCTTTAGCAGGTCACAAGCATCTGAGACCTGAGCCAAGGGCAGCAGGCACAGCAGCCCGATCGGCAGGTGCACGAAAAGAACCTGCAGCACAGAAGTGGCGGCTCTGTACATCGGCAGTCCACCAGCAGCGACAGCCAAGTGTCGAAACATGCGCAAGAACCCCAGCGACCAGTTGCACATTGCAAACAACAAGATAGGTCCGCTAATGGTGCTCAAGCGGGGTAAGACACTTGTCGCCAGCTTCACAATGTAACGGTGAACGCTCGTCATGAATCCTTCGGTGAACGGATCCTTGTTGTCGGGCCTGAGGGTCCTTCCGTCGTCTTTGTCGAAATACTCCTTTTCTTCTTCGCTGATCTCACCCTCGATCCTCTCAGCCAGAGCGTCCACATGGGATTGCACGGTGCGGGCCACAACAGAGGTATCCAACATGAACTGGAAAAACAGGCAGTACAGAAGACATTCGTTGTTGAGGAGCTCTGTAGCCTTGTACATGGCAAAGATTGGGGTGGTAAGGATCGAATCCACAGTCCATGACGATGGGCACCAATAGATGAGCAGCAGCGTGGGAACGAAAGGAAGGAGCGACATCACGAGAAGGTGATTGGCTAACCCTGTTTTGATGTCCACCTTCTCCAAGCCTTTCCGTTTGTTTTGGTCCTCCTTCTTCTCAGCATCGTGGGACGCCTCTTCCGTCTGTGGCTCGCGCCGAGTTCCAAACAGCCGCTCCCAAATGGGCTTCATCATCATGATCTCGCAAGGGCAGTTGGCCTCCTCTTCCTTCAGCTTCGCTGCTGCTTTCATTCCTAGCGCCACGGAAATGCAGCAGAGCAGGATCAAGAAGGTCTCTGCAATCTCGAGTGACACCATGAAGGGCTCATCGGCCAACAGCCAGGCATGAAAGATCACGGAGACAAGGAACTGCCCGGTTGCGAAGATGCACAGGCCCCACAGTGTGAGCTGATGCTGCGCAGCCTTCGCAAAGGGGGACTCCCTCAGATTGAAGGCCGGCTGCATCTCAATGCCCAGCTTATCCGCATAGTGTTCTAGCTGCACCAGATCTTTGTTACGATCCTCGGGCTTCGTAGTTTGTTTCCAAAGGTCATTCTGTGTGGCTAGATCCAGAAGAAAGCGTGGCAGTGTGAGGAGCGCCACATACACTGCCACGCATGCCGGAATGAGGCCGAGGCCAAACAATATTTGATTGGCCGGCTGGGAGCCTAGAGGCAGGAGACGAACTTGATATGGCTTTGTTCCGTTCTCCAGCTTTGCCCAGATCGGAACTACGACAAATGATGTTGCGAAGGAGGTGTCTTTTCCTCCAACAGCTACCACCTGTCGCCCAGCTAGGTTTTCGAGTCGGCCAGTTCCGTTTTTAAGAACTGTGCTGTATCCTGGCCCATCCTCCAGCTGGATAGAATCCTTTCCCTGGCCTTTCAATTCGACTGTGGCATCGTCTTCGGTCGGTGCGATTTGGTTCACGGCGGCGTCGTCCGTAGCAGAGCTTCTCAAGGCATCGGTGCAAAGATGGAGGAGGAGTGAAATGAAGGTGCCAAGCAAGGCCCATCCATGAGGCATTCTGTACCATGCTGGACCTTAGAGCAGCCCCACAACCCCGAATCATCAAAACCCAGAGCCTCAAAGCCTGAAAACCAAACCCTAGACTCTACACCGTAAACCCCAAACCCCATAACCCAGAAGCCCCAGACCTATCCCAGACCTTCGCAAAAGACTTCACAGACGTCGGCTGTCTGCACTGTGACGGGAAATGGCGAAAGGGTATGCCCGCGTAATGAAAGCGGCGGCCGCAACGGCTTTCTGAAATCAAACCTCTGAACTGATAGGCATGGCCCATGCAACCACCTATATAAGAAGTCTTCCGAAGGAAAACATCTCTTCTTCATATTATATTTCAATAGAGAAGCCCTACCCTCTATTTGCTCTACCTTGTAATCGGTAACCTTTATTTTCTCTATAATTTGCCAGCAAAATCTCTGTCTAAAAACACCCGAAGCCCAACCCCTTGAACCCTGAAACCTCTAACCAGCCCAACAACACCCGACCCCTCGACCCTACCCCGAAACCCCTAAACCCTAAACCCTCCCAGTGCACCCCCGAAACCCAAAAACCCAAAAAACGAAACCCTAAACCCTAGACCCTAAACCCTGCCTGGGGCGCCCTGGCGCTCATGGGAGCCACCCCGTTGGGCTTGGCGCCCTTCGGCAGCAGCTCGGGCAGCTCCTTTCTGCGTTATCTTAAGGGTCCTTGTGCCTATCAGGGGTTTAGGGTTTAGGGTTTAGGGTTTGGGGTTTGGGGTTTGGGGTTTGGGGTTTGGGGTTTGGGGTTTGGGGTTTGGGGTTTGGGGTTTGGGGTTTCGGGCATCTAAGTCGCACACACCTCCAAAGTCACTATACTGGACAAGCCTTAAAAGCCCAAGTTTCGCCTATTTTGGTACATGAATGCTTAGTGTTCGAGCCTTGTGCGAGGAATCTATAAGCCAACAAGAGCGATCTTCTCACAGGGTCGTTTAGGGTATTCAAGCTTTAGGGTCGTAAAGGTGGCTAGGTTGCAAAGGCCTGCGTGCTATCCTTTAGGGCTTGAGGGTGGCCTCAAACCCCTCAACCCCCCTCCCAGGGTTTAGAGTTTCTTAGGGCTCAGGGTCCCACACCACCCCCCCCCCGCCAGCGCCTGGTTCAAGTCCAAGGGCGGGCGCTCAGGCGCACCTGCTTCGCGGCGGTGGGCCTCACAGGGCATCCAGGCTCCTTTGTTCGGGGCTTTGGTGTTTTCAGGGTTTTGAGGGTCTAGGGGCAAAGGTAGAGACTTGATGCTGCCAGGATTTCGGCCAGTGCGACGCGACGCGTGGCACGAAACAGCTACTGCTGGTACGCCGCTCAGGGTTTGTAGTTGAGGGCTCAGGGCTTGTAGGGTTTAGGGTTGGGGGTAGTCCGTCTTCTCAGGTGTACTACAACCTCTAACCCAAAAATGGTACTACACTGGAGCCTCCAGGTTGGTGCTACGTCCATGACCCCCCCCCCCCGCCGGCAAGCGTGAACTCAGCTACCCGTAGTAAGGAGACACGGCTACTTGTCATTAATTTTCAGTTCGCAAACCCTGAACTTTACCTTACATGGTAGTTCCTTACCAGCAAAGTGGTCTTGCAGCTATAGGACCTGTGCCGAACTGTCCCAGGCGATAGCAAAAGATTCGCATTGCGATGCGGGTATTTCCCCACATAGGGTACCCCGCCCCCCTTCTCCCACCAATATACCCCAAAATTGTATAACCCTTGCTATAGGAACAACCCAGCCAAAAGAGCACCACTGCTTTCCTCAAAGAGGGGTAACATACGTCAAATCTTTATACCCCTTTATGTTGATGCTGTAGGAACGAACCCCCAAAAGGGCACCCCTGCTTTCCCCAAGGAGGGGTAACCCTAAACCCTAAACCCTAAACCCTTTATGCTGATGTATAGAAACCTCCAAACAGGGGGCACCCCTATCTTCGGATACCCCATGTTGCTAGGAACAAAAACTAGACCCAGGAGTAAGCTAGGAATAAAGAAGGTGGCCTTTGTGGGTTTAAGGGGCTTCTAAAGGAACCCCAACCCTAAAAAGCAAATAAGGACCTGCTCCGGGTCCCAGAAAAGGCCAATGAGCAGGTTCGAGCTACCCCCCCCCCCTGTCTCGCATGCTACACTTGTCCCTAACATGGCCGTACAGCAGCCCAAAAATCCTGAATCCTAAACCTCCTAAACCCTAAACCCTAAACCATAAACCCTAAACCCCATACCCTAAACTTGCCCCAAACCCAAAATCCAAAACCTGACGTATGCCGAAGAGCCTTCACAAGGCCCAGATCGACAAGCAGCAGATCCCGACGCCATTGCCCGTCGTCCTTTCGCGGCTGCTCTTCTTAATTCCGAACCCTCTAACCCTGCCACCCGAAACCCCAACCCTAAACGTTGGCCCCAAACCCTGTTTCACACCCTGCAAACCCCTGAGCCCCAAAGGTTGAGGTCGGCAAGGCCCCCAAAACAGGATAGAAGTTCTCGCAGAGCAAAGACAAGCAACTGGGAACTCGTTGTTTGCGGGTTTAGAGGGTTTGGAGGCTTTAGAGGCTTTAAGAGGGTTCAGAGGGTGTAGAGGCATTAAGAGGGTTCAGAGGGTTTAGAAAGCTTGCAGGCTTTTAGAGGGCTTAGAGGCTTTAAGAGCCTGTAGAGAGTCCGGAGTGCTTTAGGTCCTTGCCCGTTGAGAAACAGGATCCGACGGTACACTTTGCACAACAGCTGTGCCTTCCCCTATTTCTGAGGGCGGCGTAACCCCCCCAGCCTACCACTACTTATGACACCGGCCAGACATGCAAGTCCCCCAAGGTTTGGGGCATAGGGCTTAGGGTGTCGGGTTTAGGGTTTAGGGTTCGGGGTTTCCGGTTTAGGCTGCAGGGCTTATAAGGTTTGCAAACATTACTCCGGTTGGCGCCACCACGCGGGCATACGGCGGATTGTGACCATCTTGCATGACCCGTCTCGACCCCTTATCTCAATGCTGCTTATGGCACCGAGTCATTCAGGATTTCTATGACTCGAGCGCGCAGCCCTAAATTCAAAAGAAGCGTTAAAGCCCTAAACCCTAAACACAAAAGAAGCGTTAAAACCCTAAACCCTAAACACCTAAACCCCAAAACCCCAAAACCCCTAAACCCCTAAACCCCTAAACCCTAAACCCCTAAACCCTCAACCCTGTCCGAGTCCTGGCGATACGTGCTGAGGCTGGTTGTTGGAAGCAGCCATTTCAGCTCCTGAGCTTTGCAGGCCGTCTTTTCAAGTAACGTAGGGGCCTTAGTTCTTAGAATAGGGTTTTGGAGGGGTTATTAGAGTACATATATAAAGAGACCCTAAGGGAAAACGACTAGTAATGATTCCGACCCCTATCGTAGGATTCTGGGCCTGGGGCCCTGGACCCGAAATCTTCAAAACCATCGAGACCAGGCCCAAGCAATTTCAAAACACCCTCCCATGGGTGAGGCGAGCAAACAATACACCCTATAACCCTTTAACTCTGAACCCGAACCCTAAAACCCTAAACCCCAATCAAGGGGTAGTTTTCCTTCTTTGGGTCCTCTTGCGCCCTAAGATTCGACCCGGCCAGGTGAACTGCACATTGCTTGCTCTGCTACTTCGCAACATCTTCCAGCAGCCACTGTATCGGCAAGATTGGTTTCGTGTCTTGGGTGCTTTGGGGCAATGAGGGCCCAAGACCCCTAAACGGAGTTTGGTAAGAGTTTTGGGGTGTTCATAGGGTTTATAGGGTTTTTCGGGTTGGGAGTTTGGGCTTAAGGTCTGCCCATGTTTCCTTCCTAAACCCTAGACCACCCTCAACCCTAAACCCTAAACCCTAAACCCTAACCCCTGAACCCTGAGCCCTGAACCCAAACCCTTCAGGAAACACTCTGAAAAGACGGAAACTGCGGCCCAGGTGGCGCGGTAAAGGTGTTCGTCGCTCTGGGGCTCCTCGTGCCAGCAGGGCTTGCAAGATCAGGTTTAGGGGTTAGGCTTTAGTTATTCGGGTTTAGGGTTTAGGGTGTAGGGTTTAGGGTTTAGGGTTTAGGGTGTAGGGTTTAGGGTGTAGGGTTTAGGGTTTAGGGTTTAGGGTTTAGGGTTTAGGGTGTAGGATTTAGGGTTTAGGGTTTAGGGCTTAGGGTTTAGGGTTTAGGGTTTAGGGTGTGGGGCTTAGGGTTTAGGGTTTAGGGTTTAGGGTTTAGGGTTTAGGGTTTAGGGTTTAGGGTTTAGGGTTTAGGGTTTAGGGTTTAGGGTTTAGGGTTTAGGGTTTAGGGTGTGGGGTTTAGGGTTTATAGGGTTTAGGGTTTAGGGTCAGGGATCGAAGCCTCAAACAGCATTTTTGATCCTAATACACCAACCCCGAGCCCTGAAGCCTAACCCTAAACCCTGAAAGCCTAAACACCGAAGGGTGTTGTGGTTCAAGGGGAATGACAGGACGGTCTTTGAGGGGCCCCGCACAACTAAATCCCGGCTAAGTTCGGGAAGATACTGATACGCTTCAGGGCATAGGGCTTAGGATTTAGGAGTTTAGGGTTTAGGGCTTAGGGCTTAGGGTTTAGGGTTTAGGGTTTAGGGTTTAGGGTTTAGGGTTTAGGGTTTAGGGTTTAGGGTTTAGGGTTTAGGGTTTAGGGCTTCGGATTTAGGAGTTTAGGTCTCCAGGATGGCGCCAGGGGCCTTGGGCCAATAGCTCCGAACCTTCGGGCAACAACCTGGCAAATTTAACTCGAAACCCCAAAAGCCCCAAAAGCCCCAAAAGCCCCAAAAGCCCTAAAAGCCCCAAAAAGCCCCAACAGCCAGCCCCAAATGCCCGAACAGCTCTTCAAGCCCTAGAAGCCCCAAAAGCCCCAAAAGCCCTCAAAGCCCCAACAGCCCCAAAAAGCCCCAAAAGGCCCTACGGACTGTAGGGCTTCAGGTGTGACGCTAGCTTCCTTAATTCAAAGAAAATCCATGCCCCAGCGACCCTGGTGCAGAAGAAGCCCTGGAACTTTCCAAGCCTTCAATCCCCCAAAAGAATGCGCAT